TAATAACCGTTTTGTTTTTTATTCTTACTTGGAATATTTTCAAAACTCAAGATAATTTCGAAAAATATGCTGAATTTTAATATATCACATTTTGGAATTTATATAAAGTTGAAAGAAAAAAAGATTGGAAGCCCATAGGGCCCACGAAATTGATATCGTGTCGTAGATGTTTGGTAATGTGGACCGTTATAAATAGTAGGGCCCAAAGCGCGCTGTTTTCTGAAAAGGAAATATGAAACGTGCGCTTAAAAAGATAAACTAAAATATGAAATAAGAAAAAAAATGGGGCATTCCGAGAATTGAACTCGGGACCTCTCGCACCCTAAGCGAGAATCATACCACTAGACCAAATGCCCTTCTTGGAAACATTGGCAACCTAAATTAATAAAATAAAATTTATTGTGATATAAATGTTCAGCTACCAACTTGAATCATGCATATTTAATTCTAATAATTTAAATCATAGAGACAATATAAATTGAATCCATAATAAAGAACAATACTTTCCTAAGTTGAGTAGTAAAACACTTCGTCAAAAACTCTGTGGCAGGCATAGTGGTAAATAATAAGGATTTCTTGTTGCCCACTCAGTAGGAAGGTATTGTTCATTATGATAGAACATAATTTAATTTTCTCAATTGCACCCATTATGACAAGAAACTATCTTTGTTAGATGTAGTATAAGAGGCTGAAATATGTATAGTACATTAAAGATCATAACATCTACATCTAAAAATTCATGAATGTCCATCCAGTAACTCATATTTGACAAAATTCGTATATCCACTCGATCATATTTCATTTTGAAAGGCTTGTTAAACCGTCTAATATTATAGTAATCAATAGCTTTGTATCAATGGAGTCCTCCATCAAATCTCTCTCTAAAATTAAATACAGATGCTGCATGTAGGAGTGATTCAACAGGTCTCAGATGTATCATTCGAGATTCTTCAGGTACTATCATTGCCGCAAAATCATCGCGTCTCCCTTACAGGTTGTCGCCCTCTATTTGCTGAAATTCGTGGAATATTGGAAGGCTTGAGATTTGCAGCTTCATTGGCTTACTCATGCATTGAAGTGGAGTCGGATTCTTTGTTGGCAATCCATTTAATCCAAGGAGATTTACGAACCATGGGGGAAGAGGGTAGTTGGTTGATGGAGATACAAACCCGAGCTCCAAATTTCGATTTCATCTCTTTTCATTATGCCCCTCGTCAATGTAATTTCTCAGCCTACAGTCTTGCAAAATGGGGAATTTCATCTCCAATAGACACGTGGTGTTGGCAAAACAACTTTTCTCTTTGACTTCTTCATATTGTTCAAGAGGACACCCTCTCAAATTCTGCCCTGTAACTTAATTTAATACAACTGCTTCTTAAAAAAAAGAAGAAGATGCAACAATGTTGAGAAAAGTTCTTTTTTTTTTTGGGTAAATGTCATTGTTTCCAAAATTGGAGTGCACATACCCTTGTTTTATTTGCAACTATACAACCATACAGCCTTTTACTAATATGAACTCTCTTTGGTAAGTTACTTCCATTTTCAAGGGGCTTGTTTTTCCCCACTTTTGAATAGTAATTCTTTTCAGTTTCTGTGAATAAAAAGTTTTGTTATTATTCTAAAGAAAAGCAAAAGAAGTGGGCTAACATGGGGTTTTCCAGTTGACAAGAGAGGTTTTTGGATTCTAATGCCTTAGAAAGCACAAGCATAACAGGGGAATAAAAAAGCACCTCACCAGACAAGATTTTGAGTAAAGAAAGAAAAAAGGCTAAAAATATTAAATAATCAAGTGCCCAATAAAACCAGAGACAGAAACTTTATAAGCAGTGCCTAGTCCATCATCACAAATTGTCTCATTCCAGGTCAATTGGTCGTCAGTTTTTCCTACACAGATGAATGATGTGAAGTAACAGTCCTCCAAAATAAAATCTTTCTGATATCTTATTTGCTTGTCTTTTTTCTGTATATTTTTTTCCTAAACCATGGCATATCTATAATTTGTTTTGATAATGTATCATTTAGAGCAAAATACAGTTGGATTAGACTCGAAGAACAACACGGATAAGAATGAGCTCCTACTTCTTTTTTGAGGTGACATTTCTCTATTGAATAAAAAATACAAGTGGGATTCACATACTTATCTAATATAATATAAAGGCTAAATTATAAAAACATACCCCTAAACTTTGCCTTGGTTTAAAAAATAGCCCTATCTTTTCAAAAGTTTCAATAACATTTTATAAACGTTTCAAAAATATCTTTGAGAAAACCTCCATTGAAATTTTAAACGAAAAGTTGACATAACAGAATCTAGAATGACGTGGTAATTAACGCCAAAAACTTGTTTAGATTAAGTCTAAAAAGAGAGGAAGGGTGAAACAAGCTATTGCATTTAAAAGATGGATTAGGGCAAAATTTGGTAGACTATGGAGAAGCAAACTGTCTTGAGTCTTGAGACAATAGAGGAAAAAGACTTTTAGGACAAAATTAGAATGTTAATTGTCACATTAATTGCCACGTAGTTTCGGATTCTGCCACGTCAACTTTCCATGCCATGAGTATTTTTGAAACGTTTATGGGAGGTAAAAGATAATATTGAAATTTTTGAAGAAATAGAGGTATTTTTGAAATAAATAGCAAAGTTTTCTGGGTTTTTTTCTTTGTCGTAATTTAGCCTAATATTATGTAAAAAAAAAAAAACCTAATATAAATAAACCAACAGAAGTATACCATATAAGGAAGTGAGAAGAGATCTACTCATCTTGGTCTTTAAAAGAACAACATGAACAGAACAAAACGCAACAAAGTAAAGCTTACCAGCTTTACTGCTGGCTTGTCCTGTTACTTTTTGTCATCTTTACTGTTGGAGCATGCTTTGATGATCCTGGGATAAGATAATCATTGACAAGCAGCTTAAAAGTCCAAAAAATGATGTAGAAATCATAATATTGTCATTTCGGCATTTCCACAAACAGGTATGCTACCATAATGAAAAGTGACCTCCTTACCAGTAGTCATCAATTCAGGTTACAGCTGTGTGGAGAAACTTTTGGATTCATGCTTTCAATTCAATGGAAATGAACATATTTACAAGATGATTACACAGTAGACACGCAAGTCAACGAAAAACGACGCAGAAATCGACATCACAGATCTATTGTGGCATAGGATTCCCAGACACATCTAAATTGAAATCTGAAGTGATTCAAAATAAGCTATGATTGTGTTTGCAATTGAATTCTAACTATATATATAAGTTCTCAAGCTTACAAATCTCGGCAGAGGTTGGATTCTTCCATTCGCCAATCGCCATAGAAACACAGAGACAAATGCCAGAGCTAAAAAGAAATCCAGTTCTTGCTTACCTTTTCCTGAGTCTCCTCATATATTCTCAATGTGGAAATTCGCATGGCTTCGTGATCCGAGCGGTTGATTTAGGCGAGCGTCTGGAATCAGCAGAGTTCAGAGAAGCGCGACTGGGGAGAAGATTCATGTTCGCGGATACAGTGAGTCAATTCTTTCTTTGTGCTTTGCATTAAATTCTTCTCAGAATCTTCTCGTTTTGCTTACGATTTGAAATTTGTTGCCTCCGGGAGAGAAGATGAAGAGCGAAGAACAGGCGAGAGATAACCGTCGGAAGAATCCATCGGGGCCGAATCCAATTGGGAATCGACACCCACCGTCCATTCACGGCTCCGGGAAAGGGGTTTAATATAATTTAATCAGCTGAAAATTTAATTGTCATATTTTCCTTTATGAAGAAGATGAAGAACGTTGAATTTCATGGAGTTAATATTATAAATTTTGGCAATGGTGGGATTTTTTTTCTTTTCTTAAGTGGAATTGTTTTACTTGAGTTTGATTTTGTTGTTAAAATGGCTAGTTTGGTCTCTTTAATATTTAAATAATACATTTAATTTGATACATAAATTGACAAAGTTAACTACAAAAACTCGATGGGTATACAATTTAAAGCTCATGCATTTTTATCGAGAGTTGTCTCCTAGATGGAAGTACTTTGACTACCTATGTATTAGCAAAAATTCTTCTAAGGTTGACGTAACAAGAATTTACGTGAAGAGTCAAAGTTTCAACAATTTTTTTTTCTCTTTTTCTTAGATTGGTTTTAAATAGAATGAAGACTAGAAATAATTTTAAAATGTAAAACCAAACTTATAATTTATTCTGAAAGAGGATCATGGTAGTTTTAAGAATGAGTATTAGATAGACATCACTTTAAAAGTTGGAACTTATAATTTATTTATTTTGTTTATACTTATAATCTTAAATTACTAGAATGGATGACATAGAATTTATTAAGAAAAATTATGAAAAGTTCACGTTAACAACTAGTATAGAGATTCAATAGACACAATCAAATTAATAAACTTATTAAATACTAGTTTAGGTCCAAGACTAAAAAATAATTTTTTTTTCAGTACACAGAAAAGGATTCAAACTCATAATATTTTAGCTGGAAGGAAGACCTATTAGTACTAAGCTAAACTCACGTGGACAACTAAATAACAAAGCTAAATAAAAATAGTATCTGTAATTTAACAAATTGGGGGTTTTCTATGGACTTTTAGAAGGAACAGCCCATTTGGGCCCACCCAAGGTGTGTAGCCCAAGTTGAAGGCCCAAATTGGGGCTCACCATCGCTAAATTGAGAAGAAGCAAATTTTTGTTAGTTTGTTGGTGTATTCCCACGTCGGAAAGAGTAGCTTTCACAAATTTCTACGTGACCTCACATCAATTAATGTGGCAGTATCCACATATCGGGGCTTAATTATAGACATGTGTCAATTATACATAGCTAATTAGTATTGGATTTTTCGTTGTACTACAAAAAAATTTCCATAAAATTGTATTGGTGTGATATATACGGGATGAGTTGGTATTAAGTTTGTTTATATTGTTCTTAAATGAATGAATAGAATAAGTGTTCTTAAAATTACTGATGAGATTTCAGAAAATATTTTTAAAATTAAATTGTTCTTGAATTAATGAAAGAATAGAATGATTTTTTATATTTGAGTGGAACAATATCCGAAAAAAAAGTTATGATAAATAACTTTTAAAATAACATTGTTGGTGAGTTGGGTGATCCAATTTTTATAACCAATTTTTAAAAAGATTATTAATTAAAATTATCACATTTTGAAAATAAATTTATTCTAAGATGATCTCCACGACATTATTAATTGTTGCATATTTATTTACAATGATCTAAAGAACAATAACTTTTCGATATTCTAATTTTAAGTGGTTCTCGAATGAATTAAAATGGATTCAGGTTTTTAGGATATGGTAGAATAGTGAAATAACTGTAGAGTGGTGAGGAATATAGAGTCCAAAACAGTGGGGAATGCAAATGGAAGGTCACAACATTATGGACCAAAATTAAAAATGGGGTGCAAAAGCTGCCAATCTAACCTTTCCCTTTCCAGCTACCTATCTATAATACTTCCCCAATTAACTTTCAATAAAAGAAATATTATACTATTATTTTTGTCGGGTTTGGCCTCGTCATCAACGGTAGGGCTAGAAATTTTTCCAGGGGCAAAATTTTGCATCTTAATATATCATATTATGATCTTTCTTTTCGAGAAATTTTAGAGGATAAATTAGAGGAAAACTACGAAATCTTAAACAATTTACCTATCTTTTTTAGTAGACGAAAATGAAAGCAAAGGAAAATACCCTCCTACTTCCTTCTTGTCCACTCTCACTAGTGGTGAAATTGGGGAGTAGTTGTATAGATATTTTATGAGTTCAAGTGAATATTGTAAGACTAAATTATAACTTTTAAAATAATAGAGATTAAATTCGTATAAAAGGACTAATATGCTGGTTATTTAACTTTTTTTTAATACGACAGCAAGTAAATTATAATTTTGATTTCGGTGCTTCTACCCTAATTCCAATCGAGTCTATATACTTCTATTATTCCCTTCTATTGTTCGTGTAGATTTGTAACTTAAAACTAAGAGCAATTGATTTGTTTGTATTTGGAACTCGAAATGTTCTTGACTTTTTTTTTTGGATTTGGAACTTGAAACTAAGATGACCTGGTGACCCAACCCGATCGAACCCGAAAATTTTGGGTTGGGTTGGGGTCGTTGGCTTCTATGTTCGATTATGTCGGTTCTTTGATATGTGGGTTGATCCAAAAAAATCCTAATCTGATCCAACCCAACCGGTGAACACCCTAACAATGACATGATAACTTGTTTAAATTGAGCAAAAACGAACATGCATATATCTCAAAATTTCAAATCTAAGAGGTTCTAAGTTTGATCCCCACCCTACATATTAAAAAAAATCGTTTCAGTTGATTTTTTTTCCATTTCTAATTAGTGGCAGTGACATGGAATAGGACTAAATCAAATGATATAAACAATACATAAACTTTTCAAAAGTTAGTTTTAAAAAGGAAAAAAAAAACTTTTCTAAAGTATGTAGACAAAAGATGAAATTAATATTAAAATATACTTTTAAGGAAAAGAAATCAATTTTATATTTATATATCTAAATATTCCCTCTGCAAAATCAACATGGAATCAGATACGGGAATTAGATTCCAATTTCACCAACCTTCCATTGTCCTCTTTCTCGGTTCCCCAAAATTTCTTTGACAGAATTTTTTTTTTCTTTTAGATATTTCTTTTTTACTTGCATTGCAATTTACCGATTCTTTTTGTTCTTTAAAGAATTTACCGCTTCTTTTTTCCCTAACTAACAAGATCTAACTAATAAAAAATGTATTTCTTACCTAACAATATAATAAAATATAACAAGTGTCCATATTAAGAAAAGTTTGATCTCATTCTCTCCCAAGTTTACCCTAGTATGTTATAACGAGTGAACCACTCATGATGGTTACACATCAATAAATTCTATAAAAATAAATTTGAATAAAAATAATGTGTTATTAAATTCAACGGACAAATTACTCAAACTCAAAAAGGAAAAACAATATCCATAATCAGTGCTCAATTCTAACGATATTGAATATATAATTTAATTTTATTGATATGCTTATAAAATAAAATTATATGGCTCTTGAGCATGGTTCGACTTTTAGGTTTATGAGGGGAGGGAAGAGCATGATCCATGATATATAGATGAGGACAATTACCTCGATTGRTTTGAGGCTTTTTGGGTGAAACAAAAAACAAATCCGTAGGAATTATTATGCCCAAAACGGACAATATCATACCATTRTAAATATACTTGGAGTATTKTTGTCCAGTATCGGAGCCATGCTCTAAACCTAACTATGCCGGTGAATCCTCGAGTGCCGAATAAAGAAGTGGTGAGTCTTAGAAAATGTAGTCATGGTATAATATGTTATATGTTCTACCAGAACATGCCTGGAGCCTTGGATAAGAGCAAGCTCTCATTTCGATTCGAGAGCATTCGAATGAGTGACTACTTGATCAGAGGAGGCTCGATGGTACTTTGTTAAAGGAAAGAATGATTGGATTCGTGAGAGGAATCCAAACAAAGTCACACATTGACTAGGGAGAGAGTATTGATCTATGRTATATAGATAAGGACAATTATATTTATTGGTCTGAGACCTTTTGGATGAAATAAAAAATAAAGTCGTGAGAATTATACTCAAAGGAGATACTTTGAGTACTTGGATAACCATTATTATTAGCATCATGGCATCTATTCGAAGTTTTAAAAATCTCCCTAACCCACATTTTGTGTATTAAAAAAACTAATAAAATCTTGTGATTTGTAAAAACAATATTGGTATTATATGTGTGAAAGCAATTACAAAGGTGGAGAATTGAGTGCGCCGTGCAAGTGAAGGGAAGTTTAAAAAGTCAACGATTCTGTAGGGGTTGTTGACAACTGACATGTGTTAATTCAAATAATTGTTCACATAATTCAATTTGTCAAAGTTAGCTCCTTTAAAATGTCGTAAATTCCTAGATTAAGAAGAGACGTTTATATAAATTTTATAAATAGAGACATTTACATAAATAGCAAAACATGCTAAAAAAATTTGAAATTTTAAAAAAGAGCATAATCTACATCAAACTTAAATAATATGGTATAAAACAAAAAGAAAGTTCAATTTATGCCATACTAAAAAGTAAACGAGTAACATTCATTAAAATATACATTAAATTTATGTTACTTAAGAAAAATTTTCAATAATTAATTATTAAAAGAAAATTCGTTTAAACCGCAATTTACGTACCCAGTATTTAATTGAATTTTTTATAAGTCCACCTTTATTTATCGACTTCATAGTATCACATCATATCAAATCATTACTCGTTAGTTTAATTTTTTTTAATTGTACTCAAAAAAAGTGTTAACTTTTTAAGTTATGAATTAAATATTAAAAAACTTAAAAGCTAAATTTATAATTTAGAGTATTTTTTTATATTTAGTTTGATGTATTTATAATAATAATTGGGGATTGG